CCCCCGGCCCAGCATGAGCGGCGGCGGCGGGGGGTCGGCGGCGCCCGGCCGCTTCGCCGACTACTTCGTGATCTGCGGGCTGGACACCGAGACCGGGCTGGAGCCCGACGAGCTGTCCGGTGAGTGGCGCCGGGGCTCTTTGTCCGCGCCGCCGGGCGGAGGCGCCAGCGCTCGGCCTCGGCCCCGGCCCCGGGCTCCGTGCAGCCCTTGTGCGTTGTGTGCGCCCGTGCCCGTGCCCGTGCCCTGCACAGCGGTGCCCGGCGGCGGGTGCGCACGGCACAGCGGGGTGCGTGCACACTGGATAACTGTGCCTCGAGGGGTGTGCACATTGTGTGGCTGTAGCTCCCTGCCTGTGCCCGCTGTGTAGCTGTATGTGCGCTCTCGAGCCGCGTGTGCACAGTACCCAGCTGTGCCTAGCCGGGCCTGCACGGTGCCTAGCTAGTGGTGTATGCACACTGTGTAGCTGTGCCTGAGAAGGGCATGCACAGTGCCTGGCTGTAGCTAAGGGTGTGTGCACACTAGCTGTATGGGTGCTGTATATTGGTGTGTGCACAGTGCCCAGCTGTGCCTAGTGGCATGTGTACACCATGTAGCTGTATATGTACACTATATAGCTGTACCTAGAGGTGTGTGTGCAGTGCCAGCTGTACGTGCACACTGCATAGCTGTAGGTGCACTGTACAGTTGTGTTTGCACAGTGCGAGCAGTGCCTAGTGGTTGTGCACACTAGCTGTATATGCACACTATATAGTTGTGCCTAGCACTGTGCTGCAGTGCCTAGCTGTAACTAATGTGCATTATCTAGCTGTATGTGCACTATATAGTGGGGTATGCATAGCGCCTATCTGTGGCGAGTGGTACGTGCACACCGCATATTGTGGTATGTGCACAGTATCTAGCTGTGCCGAGCGATTATATGCATAGTGCCTAGCTGCCCGTGCACATTACAGAGTTCTGTATTCACAGCGTGTAGCTGTGCCAATCTGTACACACACAGTGCCTAGCTATGCCTAGCAGTAGGTGCACACTATATAGCTGTTTATGCACAGCATCTAGCTGAGCCTAGCTGTACGTGCACAGTGCCTACTGCCTAGCTGTACTTAGCTGTATATGCATGCTATCTAGCTGTATCTATATTTGTATCAGATCTACCTAGATAGATATAGACAAATAATGTGTGCGTATAAACTTTATTTTTAGAGTTTAAGAAATAGTGCCTGGCCCTATAGAGACAGAGAACTAAAGGGGTTCATGTTACCTTGCCTTCCAGCAACAACAAAAGTTCAGGATGATGAAAATGTTCTAAAGGACAATAGGTTAACAGCATTTGTGGTATTCTCTAGAAGGAAGTGCACTCTTGTACCACCGGATTCATCTTTCCTGGAACCTGTGCAATTTTTATCTGATGCATGCTTTTTTTTTTTTTTCTTTTCGTTTTTTGTTTTGGAACAGCTTTCCATCTGTATGGGTAGGAACGCTGTCCCGTTAGAAACCTTCTGTTTTTTTGTATTAAGTTTACTGATTGCATCTTGATAGACTGCATCTTGAGACCACCTCTTCTCTGTGTGCTTCGTTTTTATATCCATTGGACTGATTTTGGTAGGAGTAAGACCTTTATTCATAGAAAAAGCACACCAACATCTGGTTCTGCTGTAACTCTGATCTACCACCACTTAAGTTAGTGTAGTTAAACTGTTTTTACACTGATGTACCAAAGCTCAGAATCTGGGCCGTTGTTCCTTTTTGCCCTTCAGTGCGCATCATGGTATAAGATGAATGTTTTGTACTACTCTTTTAGTAAGTTTGATGCAAAACTCTTGGTTATGAAACTAGATGAGAAAGGTGACCTAATTTGGCACTTTGAAACTGATTTTATAATGTGCTTTTTAAGACGCGGTATGAAGAAGCAAGTCTGAGTGTTTTAAAAATGTTAGATTTTGAGAGTGTAATGTATTAAGAGCCGGAGGTGAATAGGATTCGTACGCTGAAAACAATTGAGGTTTCCTGGTTTTATTTTTTGTGGATCCTACTATTGTGTGTTTCCAATGAATTCCACAAGTTTTGGCACTGTAATACTTCCTTTTATCCCCAGCCTGCATTCATATAAATATTTTTTTTCATAATAGAGTTTTTCATCAGAAACATTAAATTTATTCCTTTGAGCTAGCTGATCAAAAGATTCTTGCTTTTATATGATCTTATGTTTGAAATAGCAAAGCCTAGAGCATGCTGTCAGGTTCTGCTTTTCCTTGCCAAAGGATGTAAGGAAGAATAAAGGTCCTGACCCTGTGAACTGTTCTGTGAGTGTGTAGTAGCCTTCCTGCAAACAACATCTTGCAGATTTGGGGCACTGTTTTTGCTAGGATGTGGGAGGGAGTCTGCAGATTCTTTGTTAACATACCCAGAGAAGAGGGCAAGAGAAGGGATTGAAACACAGCAAAAGGCAGGGGGGGCAGAGAAAACCATTTCTGGTAATTTTGCTGCACATGATTTAGTTGGAATTTCAGGATATTCTGATGAGCTTAATAGGATGATAATATAAGTTGTGCATGGTAGTGTGTTGGCAGATATTGCTTTTGAAGACTAAGTTCAGACTGTTTTATATAAACAACTAAAGAGCCTGATCCAAATTCTTTTATGTTGATGGAAAGGGCTTCCACTGACTTTATTGGGCTTTGAATCAAGCTCCTGGAAAGCCTGGGACTTCCTTTTAAAAAACAAAACACCCCCCCCGCCGCAAAAAAAAAAAAATTTTGAATGAAAGGAATATTGTATAGTTTCTTCTTCTGTATTGAAAAAGTTCTGCATCCTTGTACTGTTGAAACAGTTTGCTTTAGTAAGGGTCCATTGTTTAAACCAAGGCATTGGTGTGTATAGTGGGGGAAACAACCAACAAAAAAAAAACTAGGCTAAACACAAACAGTCCCCTGATTGGAGCATGCAGATTCTCTCCAAGGCAGGTCTGTCTTGAACACAGCTTCAAAATGATGTCATAGTAACTGAAACTCGCTACAGGAAGCTGACAATTGCTGCTAGAACCCCTAGGGATGCTGGCAGCCAACTTGGTTTTAACCAGGCTAATGCAGTTGTATACCTCGGGTATTCAGCTGCAGTACTGATAATATAGCTTTTTTTTCCCCTGTAGTTTTGTAAATCAACAATAAACTTATGAATTGCACTTGTCTCTCTAGTTATTTTTGCTTAAAAAGTGTTCTTTGACTAGCATTTTTCCTGTATATGCTAGAACAATGGTTTTCAACTTGTGGCCCATAGACCCCTGGGATTCTGCTGACTATGTCTGAGGGGCCTGGGAAAGACTACTATAATCAGTCAAAAGTATGTGAATACCTACTCATACATTTCAAAGGGGTCTATACCTCCATTTTAAAACTGATTTTGGGGGTCTACAAACATGAAAAACATTAAAAACCACTGTGTTAGAAGGTAACTGAATGATGCAGGCATAATGTAACCTACTGAAGAAGTCAACACACATCTCCTGGCAGTCAGTTAAATGCAAAACTTCTGTTTTACTAACTGAATAGGTATTATAGTTACAAATGCCATTGTTAACCTTTGCATTCAGAATGCTTTAAAAATAATATTTTCCATTCTGTCAAGTTAGTGGTGTGTGTGTGATTAATTCTCCTGGCATGATTATTTGAATTTCAGTTTTTATGGTGGTGTTTTAGTATTCTCTGTGGATGTCTGGTTGTAAATCTTTGTAGCTGCTTTTGTAGCTAGTAGTTAAAATTTGACATTTAGGTTCTGTTAAAACCTCTTCTCCAGTGGTGACAGCAGTAAAGGATGGGTGAGGGGTTGAGGTACTATTCCATACATCTTGTAGAAACTCGAGAAAATAATGATAAAATTCTTGTTGCTTAGCAAGAGTTAACTTTACACAGCAGCTACCAAGACAGTTCTCTACATCAGGGGTATGAAACTCAAGTGACCTTGCAGGCCATATTTCTTCTTGGCAGCCAAGGTGTATGCTATAGCAGGGGATGGGTCATCTGGCTTGTAAGGTGTCTTGCTCCCCTTGTTCCCATAGCTGACTGCTGCTGATTTTAAATTAACAGTAGTGACTGAAAACTATAAATATGGTGGCAGGTGAGGTTAGGGGGTGAGCATTGGCAGTGTTAAGTCACTAGAAGTTGTCTAGCTCTGGCAGTTACGGGAACAGTTTCTGCATCAGATTCAGAGGTGGGTTGTTCAGCTTGTGACATGGCCAGGATGACGTGCCTCCATAGGCTGGATCTCACCTGTGGACTGGTTATTTGATGCCTGTTGACCCACAGAGTCATTCTGGTAATCAGGAAAAGTTCGAAGAGCTAGTTCCACTAAAATTAAATTCTCACAAATATTAAAGGTAGAAACATTTCAATAGCAAATTTTAATAATGAAATATACATGAGAAATAAATGATTAAACAGAACAGAAAAAATTGATCAAGCAAATTATTAACATTTGTAAAATGGACATTTATCTAAAGAAATAATCTTATTAATGTTTGCAAGAATTTAAAATGAATTTCCTTACATCCTAAAGTCTTAAAAAGCATCTGACAGATGATCTACCTGTTAGGGAAAAGGACCTAGGTTTCAAATTTAAGTTTTAAAAGAGCACTTATCTTGGTTCATCTGCAGATGGGCTATTCAGCAAAAACAGCAGTTCAAGGTTGAAGAGCAAAGATTATGAGGTGAACCTAGATTATAACACGATTGGCCACCTCAGTATAAAAAATGTTTACTAAATAAAGCCAGTATTTAAAAAGAATGTTCCTAATAGACCTGGTTTAGAACAAAATGTAGCTTAAGTAGGGGATAAAAATAGATATATGAATATTAATTGGTGTAGACCAGGAGTGGGCAAAATGCGGCCCACGAGGCCATTCTGTCCAGCCTGCAGGGCCCCTAAAAAATGTAGAAAATTAATATTTCTCTGCCCTTGGTTCCTGTCATTTTTGATAGGAACCAAGGGCAGTAGGACCCAGGGGAAGCTCCGGTGGGCTCCCACAAGAGCAGGGCCTGCCTGGCCTCAGGTAAGGGGGGGAGGCTACTGAGGCTTCTGCCTGCCGCCAGAAGCCTCAGTAGGGGCTTCTGGCCTGGGACCATGCAGC